GCAAATGACGAGCCACCACTTCTGGACGGTTTCCCACACACGCTCTCAAAGTTTAGTATCCGCAGAGAGCTGCCGTTTTCAGGAGATATGTTAAGTTTGTCAACGTTTCTGCTCAGAGAACCTGTTGCTGACAGCTCGGTGTGTCACTTCCGGTCTCCTCCTCAATTGGCATAACATTATGACCACCTACCTACTATTGTGTTGGTCCCCAATTTGCTTGCCAAAAAGCTCTTTCTTGTTGAGGCATGGACTCCTCCATGGACCCGTGGAGGTATTCTGTAGCATCTATACCAAGATTTTAGATCCTTTAAGTCTTGTAAGCTCTGAGGTGAGCCCACATGCAACAGACTTGTCTGTCAAACACATGACAGATGCTCAATTTTATTAAGATCTGGAATTTACAGAGAAACACGCAGATTCTTCCACTGACCACCGCCCCACACCTGCACCAGGGCAAACCTCCACCTGCCCCACTCCTGCTATACAGGTGAAAATAGAGTAACAGGACTGCTGAGTCTTTGATTTTATTTATTTTCTGCAGTGTTTTACTTGCATCTATTTGAAAGAGTGAGTGTCAACACAAAAAACTATTTTATTTTATGTGCTGGAATATACAGAAAATAGGTTTAAATGTTAAACAAATTTAGTTACTTATTACTATTTTCAAGAAAGTTGACCAACACCGTTTCTAAAAAGAATGAGAGAGAAATTTAACATATTTAATGAACAAGTAAGGGTTAAAAGCTTGCCGTTGTTTTTAGCTAAGCTTTTAGTTAAATCACATCTGATGACCGTCATTAAATGTGTCTGTTAGCTGTTCAGCAGGTAAGGAGAGTAGAGATCAGACTCCACCGGATCTCAAGCCTGAAACTTCTTTTAGCAGTCGGTTAACAGGTAACTCTACCACCATCAAATTTCACTTCCAGAGTGTAAAATAAAGCAAAACATTGTTTACAGCAATATTCTAAAATAATTTTCTTTACACCTGTTGTTTACAGCATAGTTTGATACTTATAATAATGGTAATATGGTAAAGTACAGTTTTGTATTTTTTGTAATGTCATGATGTGTTAGAAAATGTGATGTATTGGTCATTTTGTCATGGAATGACAAAATTGTGTGTATTTTTAATGTTTACAAAATTAACCAGGAAATTAGTTTGCTATTGTTACTGGAGGTAGATGAAGACCTTCATCCTCCAACTCCAATATAGGTGAATGCGATGAGTCCACAGGTTTTACAGACAACTGATTTCCTTACAGCAGGGGTCCCGAATCCCACGAGGGCCGGTGTCCCTGCAGGTTTTAGATGTGTCCTTAATCCATCACAGCTGATTTAAATGGATAAATTACCTTCTCAACATGTCTTGAAGTTCTCCAGAGGCCTCGTAATGAACTAATCATGTGATTCAGGTGTGTTGACCCAGGGTGAGATCTGAAACCTGCAGGGACACCAGCACTCGTGGACTGGGATTGGGGACCCCTGTCTTACAGGAAGAAACAGGTTTATATCGTAAAAAAATAAAATATTTTATTGAACAATGGCTTTAAAACAACATATGAAAGCCCTTTATTGTGGTAGAACAAGCAGGTGTTGTACAGGCTCATTAGGATACAGGGTCTAGTTATTATTAGCTATTAGCAATGAACGATGATAGTAGTAACTGTGTACCTTCCAATGGGAAAAACCTTTTAACACTCATTTTGGAAGAAAAAACATCAACATTTTAGGATATTTCTTTTCCAGATTTGATGAATCCCCCAATTATCATTTAAATTACAATTAATAAAGTGATGCTACAAAATAACTTCAAAGTAACATTTTCAAAACTTTCTTCTATATGATTTCGGTAAAATTATTTAAGAATTGTTCACTGAAAAAGCCCTGGATAGATCATAAAACATATAAACAGGAATTATACACTAATGAAAATATTTTAAATTATACATTTTGAAGGATTAAAATTTATGCAATGTCTTTGGACTTTAAGGCACAGGTTAGAATTTTTATGAAGAAAAGAAACAAAGGAATTAAAATTCCAGGTATATTAAAATTGGATTGGATTATACAAAAGTTTTATTTATAAAGGTTAACGGTAATAAAAAAAAGCAACATAACCACAATGTAACTTCACATAGGTTGTCATCAGATTTCATAAGAAGAAGGATGTTTTCAACACTTCCGTGACTAAAGATAAACTGCTAGAGTACCTAGTATAACTTAAGGACAGCAGTGGCTCTAACAACAATGTATCTATTTGTTTGCCTGATGTTTCATGAAATCACTTCTGCCACACATTGTTTCTGAATGATTTTATTGATTTAGCCATAAAATCGAGGTCAATTTTAACGGTTGAACCTGAATCTACATCTATGGCTGTGGCCGTCATTTCTGTGGCACCAAACTTGATTTCTAGTCTGATTTCACGATTCATGCCGCGTGCTGTGTGAGGTGACTCAAGAATAATAGAACCAATTTTCTCTACTCCCCACTCATCCACATATATTAGGCCTTGGATTTTTCTCTCTGTGCGATAAAATGCAAAGGTAACCGCTGTCTGATCTCTTTCTACTGGAGTGAAGCTGTGCTCACTGGTTTTATCCCAGCCCACTTCCTCATTTTCCTTCACCAGTACACAGAAAATACCATCACACCACTCGCCCTCTTTGTTTGTGTATCTCTTATCTTCCCTATGCTTGTGTGCATCAAACCTATGAGACAAAGAAACCCCGTAAGTAAAGGCACTTATTCGAGATGCCACCACTGCTGGGTTTCTTCCAAACATCACAGCTCCCTTCATGATTGCTTCTTGAGGATGAGAAGGACACAGAACTTTACACTGACCACCAAACTGATTGGTAATATGCTGACGCAGAATCAGGCTTTGAGCATAGCCCCCCAATAACAGAATGTACTTAATGGTGAAACCTTTCTTCAGGATTTCCCTGAGACTCTTGGTGATGCCATTCAGACTCTCAGCAAAGAAAGATCGTACTTTCTCTTTTGAGATTCTGATGGCTCCTTGATTCCAGGAAACACCTCTCAGGGATTCAAAAAACGTTTCTATTTTCTGCTTTTCCCTTGCCATTTCACACAGGTTATATTGGCAGCTGATCTCCACATCATCATCATTCTCTTTTAAAACCGAAATATCATACATCATCTTCTGCAACTCTCCTGGATGCTCTTTTTCATATTCATCCCACAAACCGTCACTGAAGATTTCTCTGAGGAACTCTTTGAATTTTTTATCCACAGTTTGTCCCCCAAAATCATTTCCTGAGGCCTTGTGCAGCTCTTTCAGGGCTCCTCCCTCCAGGACTTCATGAACAGTGATGTCAATGGTTCCACCTGCAAAACACAGGAATCAATTAAAAGTGACAAGTGATAGCATCTATACCAGGGGTTGGAAACCTTTCTGAATCTGTGGCAAGATCTGAGAACTGCTGTTCACAAATGCTGTCCATCTAATCTGACTGAGCTGGAGCTGTTTTGTGAAGAAGAATGGGCAAGAATTTCAGTCTCTAGATGTGCAAAGCTGGTAGAGACAGACCCTAAAAAACTGGCAGCTGTAATTGCAAACACGGCGAGAGAAAGACCAGAAAAAGAGAGAGAGAGTTTTGAGATGTGAGAGATTTGCGATGTTTAGCGTTTGTAGTGTGTAGTTAAATTTGTTGACTTGTGTAGTTAGTGTGTAGTGTGGATAGCTTTGTGTTATGTGTCAGAACAATGAGGCGACTGCTGATTACACCTGCTACTGTCAGTCCCGCAGGTATCAGGCTGTGATGTTCTCCTTTATAGTGGACAGAAATTTTTGGAGTGGCACAAATAATTTGTGTGGCATCTTATTGAATCCAGAACAGCTGATTGTTCTGTAAATAGTTTGAAATGGTTATTTAAAAAGGGGGTAAATGTAAACGGCTGCAAATAACTTTGTTGTTTGCAAAACTGATGCATATGATTTTAAAATTGACAAGTTATATTGGCATTAAAAGTTGTGAAATATGATTCAATAAACATGTTTGTGGTTATAAACAGTACTTTTTCTACTCCGATTTTATGTTTTTTGTCTGATTTTAGATCAACTGTTAATACAGAATGTCAAAAATGAAAACATAATTATAAATTCAAACGTGAGGTTGTGCTGAAAAGAATGATTCCTTAGTTTGACTTCCCTGTAATTGATTCCATAAGTTTTGGAGCAATCTAAATTTAGTTATCTGGTGTCAATTCTGACTAACACCGGTTGATTCAATGTTTGAAATGTGCGTCCTGAATGGTTTTAGTTTCATCCTCCCAGGCTAACATAAATAAATATCCACATAACACTACATTATGTGGGAGAGGTGTTCAGTCTAAATAATCTTCATCTTATTAATAATACATCGATAAACTTAAATTCTCTGAATTCCTGTAAACTTTGACAAAAACATCCTCGTGTTAGTAAAATGTAAAAGTAAAAAAAAATTACACTTTGAAATGAAAACATAGAGTACCTCCACAGTCCACCACAATGTATTGTGTTCCTGAAGCCTGTTCGAATGTGACATCACTGTTATTTTCTGTTTTAAAACCATCAGCTGGCAGCTTCTTACACCAGACTGAGGCTGCTTCTGGTTCCAGTGCAATGACCAGTCTGTCTTCCTTGCCTGTGGTAACAATCCCTGCCTATAAATCAAAGGTAAATAAATTTTTCACTTTAAGCAGTACAGTTGATCTGTTTATTGTCTTTGTTACCTGTGTCGCAGCTTCTCTCATGAACTGTTTTGCTGAAGGATCCCAGATGGCAGGTACAGTCACCACCCAGGTGAAGTCAGAGGCTATGAACTGCTTCCCACCAGCATTTTCTGAGATGAATTTCAGAGCGTCATCCTTCAGGTATCTCAGAGCTTCTGTGAACACCTTCAGTGCCTTCATTGACCGTCCATTTGCAGCTTCAATTGTCACATCACTATTAAGTTTCTATGATGGCAGACTGGATATTAGTTAATAGGTTTGTAACTTCCTACGTGAGAGTCTAAATCAAACAGCAATTTACAGAGATTTAAAATCTTTTTCAAAAATGACTAGCCAAAAAATGATATTTATGTTGAAAATTGATGTATTTATGTTTATGTTCTTGTGGCTACCATTTCACATTATATTACAATTAATAAGGTTGATCAGGAAAATGCAAGAGCTAAAAGTATTTAACTATAAGCATCTATAACACACTCAACACAACGCAGAAAGTGTTAAACCATAATATAAGATTATTGATATATTTAGATTTTTACACTTACTTTGCCATAGAGGGACATCTTGAAGCATTCAAAGAAGAATTTCTTTCTGGCTTCATCGCCACGTGTTCTAAAATAAGCTGACTGGGCTTCATAACCAAAGCTGAGAAATTTTCCATGCTCATCAAAAAGGATGCAGGTCGGAGTCTTTGGGGTCCTCAGTGAAACCTGTTGACCCCAATATTTTAAACGAGGTTCAGTTTCTGCTTCTCTCTTTGTCAGACTGAAAGCATATCCACTGTACGCAGTGCCAAAGTCTATCGCTATAATGTATGAGTTATCCATTGTGGAAACAGTGCTGAAGAGCAGCAGTTACAGAGTATTTATGAACAAACCAGGGGGTGGACCTCACTGAACTCCACCCCCTGGTCTGTGGAGTTCAGTGTAACAGTCGTACTTGTGTCAGACTGGAAAAAGATTTTCAATAAACAAGACAGAACACACCACGATGAGTATTCAAAAGATCCGCAGGTAAATACATTATATCAACCTGTATCTCTGCATAAACTGTCAGATTTAAATGTTTATACAAGTTAAATGTATATAAACATGAAAATGACTGAATGTAATTTAAAGTTTTGTTCATCAGTTTTCCTTAGTTTGAAATGATATGATGAGTATGTAGTCCATAGCTTAGGTTTAGTATTTTTCCTCTCTGGACATCTGCCTAGATATCTGTGATATCAGTGTTTCTTTACCTTCAAATTAGAGATCGGAATCAATCAGCAGCTCCACAGGAGCTGAGGTAAGGATTCGCTCTTTTTAATATCATTTGATGTTTCTCATCAGGAATTTTAAAAATTGCTTCATTTACCTGGTTTCCACAGCTGAACATAGGATAGACTGCATGAATTATACTATATTTTGCTATATGATCATCTCATCATAAGATTTTAATTTAAAAAAAAAAGCTCAATAAACATTACTCTGAAATTAATGCTTATAATTTTTAATGTAAAATTAATATTTTTGGGCATGAATATTTCTTCATAATTCTGGAATACAATTCTCTAATACACCAGATAGTAACACAAACAGCAGAAGTGGCCATTTAGCATACAGGCCAACACAGACATGTAATCACATACTTAATATATTTTCATAGTTTATTGTCATTGAAGAGTTTTGTAGAACATCACTCATTATTTCTGGTGAGTTCAGGTTTATGTTTACTGAATTTTGTACATGTTTTTTTCTACATATTTTCTATGCTGCAGATTTCAAATGGGGTGGCAACATCAAAACCTTTTTTTTTTTTCAAACTCACATGTCAGGTTAAATCAGTCCACGGGCAGCGTTTCCGTGGACCCTAGAGGGTTAATAACACTCACCTTCATTCCATTTCCAGAGTGTAACAACCAACCACATGTGAAATCTGAAATTCCCAATATGTTGTTCAAAATGTGCTCTGGCACAATCATAAGCATCGCTTACTACTGATAACAAGGCTGAACCATTTGTTAATGGTGAAGGGGGGTAACACTGAACAAAATAGATGAGATCTCTACACAAGGCTTGCTTTTCGTGATTTTAATAAAGAGCTTTTTAAGCCTTTTGCTCTCTCAAGGCTTCTCCTTGCCATCTCTTTTTGGTAACTGAAATATACAGAAAGTAAAAATAAATTGCTAGCTAATACACATCTTAATTTACAAACTTAATGATTAGCCTAGCTTAACACATGCGTTGCATTAGCATCACAGTTCACTTCATGTAAACACTGATAAAAGTTGTTTCTGAACACATTAATACTCACAAAGACGAACAAGCGTGTAGGGCAGCAGTCCCCAACCTTTTTTGTGCCACGGACCGGTTTATGCAACAAAATAAAACTAGTACTGGTACGGAAAAAAAGCAGATTTATTCATAACACACGTGAAAAGCCCCAGGATAACCGAGATACTGATAAAAACGATAACAAAATAACGCTAAAAAACGAAAAAAACCCTGAAAACCATACATTTCACACCCGAGCCTCAACTTTCGCGGCCCAGTACCAAACGACTCACAGCCTGGGGGCCCGGGGGTTGGGGACCGCTGGTGTAGGGCACTTTTAGCATGTACATGAGCTTTTTCACTCTTTTAATACTGCGGAATTACACAGTATTAACGGAGAACACTGCCTCGCTCCCATTCCTGCACATACAAACAGAGATTGCTTGATGTTTCACTCTGACCAAATTTCGAACCCACACGTTTTAATTGTTTTAACTGTTTAACTGCTTACATGACTTAATCAGATTATGCACTAACTACTGACTATTGACGAAAAGGCATCACAAACACTGTCATATGCAAAACTAGGGTGGCACTTGGGGTGGCAAGAGATCATTTTGCCACCCTACTAGATCCCCTCCTGAAACCTGACAACATTGATTTTTAAACTTAGTTTTACTGGTTTCAGTAAGTAAAAGAAAAGAAACATTCCAAAAATCCAGACCTGTGTTATTGAGCATCAGGAAGTGTGGTCTAAGGAGCTTGGAAAGAAAAGCGTCTGGACTTCTTGAGTTGCTTGAAGACATTTCACCTTCACACACACCTCTCACCCGAGAAGCTTCTTCAGTTCTAAGGGTCCAATTGGTGGGGAGTCCCAGATTTAAACCCAGTGGGAGTTTCCCCCCAAAGAGGGACAAGGGACCCCCTTATGATCCTCTACCTAATCACATGAGCCAAGGTGTGAAACTGGGTGTGGGTCCCAATCAGCCAGGGTTTCGGGTGAGCTCATTGTGAAACCTGGCCCCATCCTATCATGTGATTTCCTGAGGTCAGATGGCCCAGGACTTAAATGGGCGTTAAGGCGTCTGGGAAGGGAACTCAAAACAGGATTATAGATGGCAGACAGTTGGTGTCGTAAACCACCGCCTCTGTACAAAGATGGTTTGATGATACATACAGGTGATACATACATTATACTGCTACTGTTCTATTTAAATTTTAAATGAATATATGTGGATCTCATTTTTCGTAGAAACACAAAATAGGTAAAAAAAAAAAAAAATCTGGAAATTCTTGTTTTTTACATTCATCGGGTCCCAATATGCCCAAATATCAAAGAGAAATTAAAAATGCATGCCGTGGAGGAGTTCGGGTCTTAGGAGGTTAGAGAAATATCCAGGTAACAAAACCAAAGGGTGGGGGATCATTACATATGGAGAGTTAATGTCAATATGCTAGAGAACAACACATTCTTCCTAGGAGTGTGTGTTGCAGCAAATTCATCACAAGGTTCTGCAACAAACCCAGGAACTCTTCAGGCCTCAGTGAGCAGGTTAAAGGTTAACAATAATGACATCACAATTAGAAAAAGACTGATCAAGCACGGCTGCTTGTAAGGATTGCAAGAGAAATCCTCTTCTATCTAAAATAACATAACTAAATGGCTTAGGCTTGCAAAGCTAGGGGTTAACCAAGCACAAGACTTGATAAAGTGATACATCACTGCAGGTTACTGCTGCTAAAGTATGTTCTACAAGCTGCTGAATCCGGTGGTGGACTTGTACACAAAACTGTAGATACAGATTAACTTCTAACCAAGGGGCTGAGTGAATATATTGTATATTGTGAATAACCTCTCTATTATGTTTTTAAACAGTTTGGCTGAGATGGGAAAAAAACTTTGTGAGGCAAAGTAAACATTCCTTTTTTTTTCTCATATTTCACAAGTGCCTCAAGTTTCTCATTTCCTCTTTTTATTTCATCCTGTTTTATCTGTTCATGCTGTATATTTGTCTCACAGTATGGTGGTGAAACGTCATGAGGAGGAACTGAATTCAGTCAAAGAGAGGTAATGTTGGCATAATCTGGTGAAATATCACATAACATATTTGCACTTACATTGTTGCAGTCTTTTGCAGAGTGGTGTGACTGATCAGTTAACTTTGGAATATTGCTTATTAACAGTGGCCTACAAAAACAACAAAATTGTTTTGAAAGACAAATGTAGAATTTAAACAGTTAGTGTTGGTTTCTATATGTTTGGCATTATGTTTAAAATTGTTGATCTGTTATTGTAAAAGGAATCTGTGTTTAATGATGAATTTGTGATCTGATGTGTTTTAACAGATTAATCTGTTTACGTTTTTAAATAGTTTGATGGAGATGAACACATTTTACAAATTGAGCCTCAGAAAAGCAAGGTAATTATATTTCTGCAATATTTATAGACACCCATGAAACAGTATTTGTATCCACTGTCAATCAACATACACACACACATA